TCCCATTCCTCCACTCCCCCCTCCCTACCCTCCTCCCTCCCTCCCTCCCCTCCCTCCCCTTCTCTCCCTCCCTCCCCTCCCTCCCCTCTCTCCCTCCCTCCCCTCCCCTCCCCTCCCCTCCCTCCCCTCCCTCCCTCCCTCCCCTCCCTCCCTACCTCCCATCCCTCCCTCCCCTCCCATCCCTCCCTGGTAGGGGGTGGTGGGGGGGTGCTGGTGGGGGGGGGGGGTGCTGGTGGGGGGGGGGTGCTGGTGGGGGGGGGGTGCTGGTGGGGGGGGGTGCTGGTGGGGGGGGGTGCTGGTGGGGGGGGGTGCTGGTGGGGGGGGGTGCTGGTGGGGGGGGGTGCTGGTGGGGGGGGGGTGCTGGTGGGGGGGGGTGCTGGTGGGGGGGGGTGCTGGTGGGGGGGGGGTGCGAGGCGACAACGCCGCCGCCCGCCTCGGCAAACAGCGGCGCGAGGCGCGGCCTCATTCATCCGCGCCAGCCCAGCCCGCCGATACAATAACAAGCAAAGAACACAACCACCACCACAAACACACAACAACAACCACCACCTCTCCGCTGAATCCCACGGCCTCCCCGATACAATAGAATGGTGGTGGTGGTGTTAGCGAGACACAGCAGCAGCAGCTGTGTTATTGAAGCGGCTATGGAGAGGGATCAGCAAACGCTTGCAAAAGGGCAGCGGTTGTGATTGTGCCCTGTGTGCCACACTCCCTCCACTTAATCCTTCCCACCTCCACCACCTCCTCCACCACCTCCTCACTCGTCCACCTCCTCTGTCGAGGAAGCCTCAAGCGCTTTGCCGCCACTCGCGACGAAGGCGGCGGCCGTCGCTGGCGAAGTGAAACAGCCGCGGAGTTCCTGGTGGAGGTGAGGAGCGTTGCGCACGGGCAGCACCACTCCTCACCACTCCTCACCAATCCCTCTCACCACTCCTCACCACTCCCTCCTCACCACTCCTCACCACTCCCTCCTCACCACTCCTCACCACTCCTCACCACTCCCTCCTCACCACTCCTCACCACTCCCTCCTCACCACTCCTCACCACTCCCTCCTCACCACTCCTCACCACTCCCTCCTCACCACTCCTCACCACTCCCTCCTCACCACTCCCTCCTCACCACTCCTCACCCCTCCTCACCCTCCTCACCACTCCTCACCACTCCCTCCTCACCCCACCTCGACCACTCTCTCCTCACCACTCCTCACCACTCCTCACCACTGCCCTCCTCACCCCTCCCTCCTCACCACTCCTCACCCTCCTCCTCACCACTCCTCACCCCTCCTCACCACTCCTCACCACTCCTCACCCCTCCTCACCACTCCTCACCACTCCTCACCACTCCCTCCTCACCCCTCCTCACCACTCGCTCCTCACCACTCCCTCCTCACCACTCCTCACCCCTCCCTCCTCACCACTCCTCACCACTACCTCCTCACCACTCGCTCCTCACCTACTCCTCCTCACCACTCCCTCCTCACCACTCCTCACCACTCCCTCCACACCACTCCTCACCCCTCCTCACCACTCCTCACCCCTCCTCACCACTCCTCACCCCTCCTCACCACTCCCTCCTCACCCCTCCTCACCACTCCTCACCACTCCCTCCTCACCACTCCTCACCACTCCTCACCCCTCCTCACTCCTCACCCCTCCTCACTCCTCCTCACCCCTCCTCACCCCTCCTCACTCCTCACCCCTCCTCCTCATCACCTGTCGGGCGAGCGAGCGGCGTGCCCGGGGTCCTGTCACGAGTGAATGTCAACACTCACCACTCGTAGCGTCTTCAAATGTAGAGGATCGCAGAGCTTGGGCAATTGATGTACGAATGCACTTTGAACGTAGCTAGAGAATTTTACTTTCTGTTGTTTGTATTTAAGAGGTGCCTTGGTGGCTATGAGATGTTAACTACCTCGCATGGTACACAGGAGGTCGTGGGTTAGATCCCGACCCCTGCTGTATATTTGGAGTGTACGCGTGTCTCTCTCATCATCATCATCACGGTGGCTATGAGATGTTAACTACCTCGCATGGTACACAGGAGGTTGTGGGTTAGATCCCGACCCCTGCCGTATATTTGGAGTGTACGCGTGTCTCTCTCATCATAATCACGGTGGCTATGAGATGTTAACTACCTCGCCTGGTACACAGGAGGTCGTGGGTTAGATCCCGACCCCTGCTGTATATTTGGAGTGTACGCGTGTCTCTCTCATCATCATCACGGTGGCTATGAGATGTTAACTACCTCGCCTGGTACACAGGAGGTCGTGGGTTAGATCCCGACCCC